AAAAAAAACCGTAGCTGACCTCTTTCAATGCTACCACTCCAACAAGTCGTCCCTTTTCCGTAACATAGGCGTGATTCAGCGCAAGCAGGGAAAACAGAGTATGAACCTGAAAAGGCGTGATCACTGATCATTGATCGTTATCTTCTGTTTTTCTAGTTAAATATTTAATGGTTATTTGTTTATAACTCCAGTAAAGATAACTTTGAGTCTTACTTTATAAAGCGATGTTCCTTTTACTAGTTGGAATGGAGCAGGATCAATGGCGACATCATCTAAGTCAATTTTTGAAGCGAGAATTTCAGCTCGTTTCGCCAATGAGTGCTGGAAAAGAATAATGAACAACCTAACCGTCAAGGTTCATAAGTGAGACGTGTTACTCCAAAGCACTGAGATTTGGAAGCACCTACGCAAAATTAAGACTCACCACAGGCGCTTCTTGAGCGTAATTCTGACTGTACAGAAGTGGAGCAAGAGGACCTCGTTCTCCTTGATTGTCATGCAGTGGCGAATGAGCAAGAAGGGTGTTACCACTTATATTGCGATCAGTAAGGAAATTGTGGGAAGACGTCCCACCGACTGCATTGAAATTTATGTTGGAACCTCTTCTAAGAATATATTAGTTCATTGAGCACATGCTAATAAAGCAAGATCAGCATTAAAAAATCAACCTGAACTGTCCGATGGTGTTGAGAAGCTCGGACGCGGTGCGACTTTTACGTTTTTGCTGCTGAATACCTGGTTCAGCACCCAAATGTTTTGTAAGTAGATAGCAGAGATATTTTCGAGCAACACTTCCGAGTAGCGTCATCGATGCTGTAAGGTTTCGTAAATGTGTCTATCACATTTCAACCAAAGGAAGTCGTACCTTTATCCGTAACGAACGGATATGACCTGAGGTTGGGCGTCTCGAGAAGAATTTCTCGCAATTCCATGTATGTAGTATCACGAGTGATAAACACAATGTCCTTCACCATGACTTTCTCTACTTTCATCGTATGCACACTACAAGCACAAAGATTAACAGAATAAATATAATACTCCTTTTAGAGAGATTGTCACAGTCTTCACCTAATTCTACTCGGCGGGAGATCAGTAAGGTATGGATAACCCTGTATGTTGATAATGCTTTCGTAAATGGACGGTTGCAGGAAGCTGCAGATGGCGTTGCCAATCATAAGCGCAATCTGGAATAAGCAGTACTTTGTACAACTTAGCTGAGGTTATTAGAAGGAGATTACCAAGACGGGAAGGAGAGCACACAACTGTCCAGTAGTTTCACATACTATTACTGCAATTGAGAGAGAATGAGTGACAGCTCCAGTGTACGCAGCAGCTCCTAAATCTTTACTTCCAAGCGAATCAAGATAGAAGAAGCAGTTTCATCCAATGAATTCTGCATTCTCATCAACTCTATTCTCCTCAAATCCAAGTAGCTAGTTTTATACAACACTCACCAACTACGGCATACAGTCCGGGATAAATTTGCGGACCATCAAGACCGCGAATACCTTC